TTTGTGTTGCTCTCCTCTGGCTGATCCAGTTAGTCCACATCCTTAAGTGTGGTACCAAAACTGGATACAATACTCCAGCTGATACCTCCCCCCTGTCAAGTAGAGCAGAACAATTATTTCCTGTTTTATATAGCACACTTGTTAATACACCCAAGAATGACATTGTAGTGCTATTAAAACAATACACACCGGAGGAGGGGGAGAAGAGGGACAAGAATGTGCACCAGTTTTTCCACAAATTCTGGGCCCAAATTGGATTAGGCTGTCGTGTAGCTCAGCTCAATGTCCTAACAGCTAGAGAGGCCTTAGTTCTCTGGTTTGAGAAACTGTGAAATTACAGGTGGTGGTATTATTGCTTTTGCATTATTCAGAGGAAACTTAAATTCCACACAACATGATTGATCAACTTTTGGCAAGTGCTTAGTTGATACTGATTTGTGCACTTTGAAAGAGTAATTAGGTATTTAAGAGATTCAGCCCGAATGTACACTTTTTGAAGGTACACAAACAAGGTAGTCTTTAGGAGAAATCAGCCTGTATGATAGCTGTGAGGCAATGTTTTTAGACCTTATTCTCACAATGTTTTCTTTCTAAGCACATAGGAATTTCTTATTTAATAACTTTTCTAAATACATACATTCTTTTTGCCCTGTAAAAGCAGCCTTCTCTAAAGGATAAGCCTGTATATTCTTTCAGAACCCTGCTGCACTGTTATTCAGTTCACCTACTTCCACAGAGTGGGAGACTAGTCATGAAAGCCATCTTTAAAGGTTTTTACAATTCAACACAAGTGATTTACCCAGGTGACTACAGCAGCATATGCAGTTACTGTACCTGCAGGCTAGTCAAGTCAGATTCCTCCACGATATACTGCTTTCTAATGGAGTAAAACATGGCACATTCTTTACTGAGGCTTTCAAAACATTCTTTTTCTTCATCCCAGTTTACCTGTCAACAGAAATTTGATGAGAGCAAACATTTGTTTCAGTATCTGAAATAGTAGTTTTGAAGGAACATTACTGTTACTTACTAGTCTATAGAGTCACCTTAATGCCTGGTTAATTAAAAGTTTAAAATAAGCTACTGTCTTGGCCATTTGGTGGTATAAGGTTAGAATACAGAGAAAGCAAGGAATAGTCTAAAAGTTTGCCTATCTTTGAAAGTAAAATTTTTTCAAAAGTTTCTAAACATTCATTAACATATTCTTATATAGTGAATATTTAGCTAGGAATGGACTTAAGCAATCGGTGCAGTTTTCCTTTTAGAAGAGAAAGTTTAGAGCACTGTCCATGTGTCAGAATCTGTATTACCATTATAATGTGATAATTACTACATTGGCAGATATTTAAAAATACTGTGTGTGGTCACTGGAGGCAGGAATGTTGGCAGTTGTACTTTTGCACCAACTGCTTCTGTCAGAACAGAGTCTATGACATTATATATGAACTCTTCTCCCCACGTCAATTTCTGGTGAATTTCTTAGTGGTTGAATTATTGCATGCCTGCCTATTAGTAACTTCATTTTAGAGAACATCTAAAAATCACATTTTCTAATAAATGACAATGATGAAAAGAAGGTAACATTTGCAGACTAGTTAGCTTTCCCCATTAACTAACTGCTGAACAGCACCATACCTCTGTGGCTAAGCGAAGGATAAACATAGGTAGTCCCTCCAATGGTGGAACATAGTTGTCTATCAGGAGTGGTAATCCAGTAAGGTTTCCATCCTGTAAGCATAACATTTTCTTTACATGGTGAAATACCTAGGGTCTTATAATAATGTATCTACCTACTAGCCATATCTACAAACCCAGGACACTACTGTTTGCTGTACAGTGATTGTATTTATCAGGTTGGTACTAGCCTTAAAGCAAATCAAAAATATTAAATACAGTTTCCTATTGTGCATTACCAACACCTAAGAGTTATACAAATAACCTAATGACATAGAAG